CTCTCCTTTTATTTCATCTTGTGTCTTCTTACTTCACGTTTATACATTTGATAAGAAAGACTGGCATATTGATAATGATAATTATACGTAATCGTACAATGATTTATATATAAAGTATAAACGTGTTGAAATATCACTCAGTTTGTGTTACTCGGAGCTACTTTGTCTTTGACGCTGGCGGTTACTTCAAATCTGCAAGAGTAATCAAAGTGCAAGTACAATGTGCTCGTATGCAAATGTGGACATAGGTTGAAGCAAGTTGTCGCACTCACGTGAATGGACTATTCCAGAAATCCCTTCCCCATTGTAGTCATTGTAGTCGCGCATTGTACTAGCTATCCCTAAGTTTCGATACATACTCTTATAGAGAACAATGATTACTCTTTATCGCATTATAACGCAATATTAATATAATGGGAGCGTCGAACGATTAAATGAACAAAAGGGGTAAAGTCATCATCATTAAGCACATTTTAATATGTCTTTCAAAGCATTTCCATTTTACCCTGCACTATCAGTAATTGTGACATTGATTAAAGCTTCGATTTATGTTTCGATGCTGCATCGTTTGCGAATTATGACCGATAATTAATTTACGTGGTTAAAATTTCAAGTTGCATTGTTAAAATTTCTAATTGATAGGGGGCGAATCAGCAATTTGTAATTAAATTCCGTTGTTAAATATAATTATGCTTTGTATATTTAATACGAAAGAATATATCACAGGTGTATTTAAGCCTTGGAAAATTGCAGTTGATTTGAGCTTTTTAGTTTCAGCCTTTCTTTTTTCATGAATCTTATTTCCTTCTTTCAACGATATATATGTATATATATTTCTGTTTCAACACATTTTGATATTAACAACGTTTTAGACATTTATAAACAGTTGTGTAATTTATTTCGCCCGCGCGTGCGAGAGAGGAAGACAGAGGAAGAAGGGAAAGGAGAGGGAGGGAGAGAAGGAGGGAAGGAGTGAGAGGGAGAGAGGGGGCAACGGTAATATTAAAATTAAAATTAATGATTTATCTGAAAAGAGATGCTAAATGGTTTAATATACCTTTGTGAGATATAAAATATTTGATTTCATTATTCTCTAAAGGTATATACATATAAATATTATATTATTTCTCCTGCAAAAATTTGCTATAATTAAGAAAGTGGTATAACACGGCAAAGTACTTTTGAGAAAGATATAAGTAATCTTCTCACGTTGCCAGTTTATGCAAGAACATAAAGAAAACGATCACATATTTCATGATGACATTTCGCGATGATGGGTCACCCGCATGTATAAAATATATACATATATATATCATGTACACATATTATATACATATATATATAAAACTAAAATTTATGGTGCAATATTCATAAAGGTTTGCCCGAAAAGCAGAAGCGCTAAACCGCGTTTCACGCTTGGCAAGCGATATTCGCCAGCATGGCGTTATTCATATTTGAAGGAAATACGCTGACCGGCGTGTATAAGAATAGTGAAATTGCTCAGCATGGAATATCGATATAAATTTGTGATAACTCACTGTTCTGAGCTGTATTTATTATTGTAGGAAGTCAAACGACGCTGTATCAAAGGTAAATTTGAACAGACTTGCCTTTGTTATTCCTGATATACCTGGCTACACACGTACGTACGTACGTACACGCACACGTGCGCACACATGCACACACAGTCTCTCGTAGTATAATATCAATCTCGATCAAATGTATCGCACTAAGAACATAATTAATCACGAGTGTTTATCGCGTAAGGAACGAAGCATGGCAGACCTTTCCGGGATAAACCATTTGAGGCAAGGAAGAGCGTACCTGGGATCGGGGAAAGGAGCGTTGAACGGAGCACAGGGGAGGCGTGAGGAGCATTGGTAGAGGAGAGAAAAAGAAAGGGGCTGGGGGAAAAACAAAATAAAGGAGGAAAACCGCTGGCAATTTTTCACTAGCTTTTTAAAGCGCGGCTTAGGTACTCGTGGAGCGAGTTTGAATCGATTTTTCCAGAGGGGAGAGAGGGCCCATTTTTCTGCCGTCTTCTTGTGCCAAACGGCGCAAACTGTACCTACCTCCAGCTGTTTCGCCACCGAACACGGTTGTCGTTCGAAGGCCGAGTTTAGATTGGAATCTGAAATTTCGATACCTCGCTCGGCGATTCCCTTTTTTCCCCTATCGCGAGCAAATGCTCGCGAAGTTTTGTGGGCGCAAAAGTGGTGCATCTGCATGAGCCAAGAATAAATCAGGATGCGAAATCCGAATGGAGATTTCTTGCCGCAAGAGAAAACGGATACGAAGATCTATGCTTCGGGAGAAGCGATTCTACCTATACGATTTTTACGGATTGAGATTCTTAATTCTCGTGAGATATAGAAAGAGAGAGAGAGAGAGATGATAAAGTCCGAGATGATAACTTATTATTCTACCACAAATATTCAGGGAATATGCGAAACAAACGTTTAGACAAAGTATTAACACCAAGTAGTTGCGACTACATTTATTTCGTCCATTTCTTTTACGATGTATCGTGGCGCGAAATCGCGATACTGTCCCTGACTTTCGTCACGTAAAATCACAGGGCGTAACGTACTGGTTTGCAGATACAATCGATGTAGAGCGCGGGCTTACTGACACTTCGCATGCTCGCAAAATGCAAGCTCAATATGTTCCTTTTGTTTTGCTCACGTAATTTCCTTGCGAAATCGAAGTTCTGTGTGCCACTGATTATACCTATTCTTAGACTACCACGAATCCTTGGTGTATGATAATTTCCCTTTGCAAGTGAAGGTGATATTCATTATCTGAATATTTGACCTACAAGTATTTTTAGTTGCGTCCATTTAATATAATAAAAGCAATTGTTAAAAGGTTTAAATGTGTCAAAAATAAATAAATTGTAATATTCAGACTTTCATGCTCGATTTGTTGACTTTCAGACTTTTATTTCAAATTATTGACAATAAAAAGCAGACATTTGAGCATTCCATTTACGATCAATCAATTGCGCTAAACGTTCACGGAGGATTGATTATGTTCTTTAAATGTTATCTGTAGGAACGCGTCAAATCAGCTCCGCCGCTGGTTTCTGCTGCATAAATGCACACGGCTTAGCGTTACTGGTTTACCGATACAATCGATCAAGACTGCGGAGATTGACGCGACTTCACCTCCAGCTCGCAGCTCGAGCCCGACTTCGAAGGGTATCGGTGCTTGCGATATTATCGTCATGCATCTATCGACCGGCGAGTTTAACGGAGCGCAAGGTCACAGGACTCGTGGTAGCTGCCGCGCGATCGCAGAGATATGCGTTATTATTGTTCGCGTCGGTGCATCGTGAAACGTCGGACGATGATGGAAACTCGTAAAACAGCTCAGTTAGGACGAGAGGGCGAGGTCGTTAAAAGTGTAATAAACTTGCGAAGCCGGTTGATAAAACGAAATATTCCGGATTTCCTTCTATTGCAACTTCTAGGGATTTGATTATGTCTATTTATTGTCGACACTGACATTTTCCCAGCGCAGTGGCTTTTCTTCAGTAAAGCCGTGGGTTGGTGCTGCGTTTTTTATAAATTGCATTTCCGGAAGCGTTAAGATCGCGAATGATATTTGCGACTTCGCAAAAGCACTCGTAAGTCTCCTCTATAAATATTGCAGTACTTTTTGCATTTGTGCCATACCTATATATATTTCGGTAGGATAGAGTTGTTTCAACACATATGAGGCATATTTGACCAACTTAAATATTCTACACAGCTTAGAAGATTTACAGTATTTTTTCATTGATATTTTAACAGTATAAAGTAGAAAAAATATCCAAACGACATCAAATAATTTTTACCTAAAATATTTGATGACGTTCACAAATGTAGTTTCTTCTCTTTACTGCCATAAATACCAATATGTAGGGATAGAGAATTCTATTATAAGTCCATACATGTTTCTAAAATAATGATAAAATACATATTAAATAATAAATATTGCAATCAATTTATGAGCAAAAGCAAGATTTTAGAATGTGATAAAATACACTCATTCAATCCTCCCTTTCTAAAAAAAGAAATGTTGCCGGCGTGAATGTTGTTAATATCGAACAGTTGAGGCCTCTTTTCCGTCAAGCCGATTGGTTTTCTCGAGGCACGGTGTGCTTTACTTCTCTTTTAGATTCGTGTCATGCTTCACTTCTTTTGTTCATGTTTAACGTGTCATGTTTCTCATTAGTTAAACTTTTTAACTGTTTGTTACGCGTAAAAATTATCGCAAGAAAATAAGAAAAAAATTAATAAATTGCACGCGCAGGTGTTGTTCCAGTAAAATAAATACAATGTGAACGTTTCGACTTAACTTACAATTAGTCTTCAACACAAAGTGCGAAAAAAATAAACTACTAACACGAAATTTTATTAAAATCAGGCCTAGCATACAATTTGATTGATTTAATAACAGTAATATACAGCGCATTCTATAAATGAAGTTAAAATACGTTTTTTTTTAGTCAAGCGTAAAAAAGTAGTCGTGATTTTACGTTTAAAAGTATGAATGTCGTTCCATCGTAAAATAAAAATGTCCAACAAAAAAACTTGTAGTTCGAGACGAGCCTTTTAAAATAATTACATTCAAAGTCAACATTTTGCTATTATACCAATCCATAGTATGTTTACTTAAGTTAGTATATGTAACAAAATCTTTAATCAACAATTCATTGGTGCAAAATACAAATAAGGCATATGAAATATTGTCAAATTTTGGCGTTTAATATTGATAGAATTATTTAATTTATTAGGTAGAAGCAATGATCGTGGAAGGCGCGTAGCCCGCACTGTCTGCTGGTAATACGTAAATTTATCATCAATTTTTATGGATCTAAGATTAGATTACTTTGCATCTTTGAGAGGTCGTTAGTGAATATTATGTTATCGTTTTATGGTGACGTTATATTATCGCTCATATAACTCTAGTAGAACGGTAAGTCGTCTTTAATGAGCAAGATTAAGAGGACTTACGAGATCTCTCCGAAGGCTGAGAACGCTTCCCTTAAGGTGTGTGTCTCGATCTCTGGGCTCAGGTCCCCAACAAATATGTGATAGTGTTCTGAAACAAAAAAAGGGAGATGATTAGACCATATTTTCCCAAAAATAAAAACCAGTATATATTTTTGTTGCTGAAAGAATTGCGATCGAAAATAATAATAATTATATTCAACATTATTAATTTCGGTAATAAATACATCATGAGCTTTAATAGAGGCGGAGCTAGTTATAAAATTTATTTCGCATGGTTCAAAACGTATATCTCTGCGATTATAAACTCTGCTATCAATAGTCCAAAATGTAGACAAAAATTTTGTCTTATTTGATAGAGTGGTCATTAATGTGCTTTTGTGATGTTTACATTTGAAAATTACTGTATTTATCTTTCTAAATTTATCTTCTATTTTATAAAAGCAAAAGAAAAAACCATTCAGAAGATTACAATGCAATTGTAACCAAGTTAATTTATCAAAATCTGTAAAATTTAGTGTAATGTAATTTATATTATCCATTCGACTACATTGTCTTTCTAATGTGAGGTATTATCACTCTGCAAGATTGACATTCATAATCACAATAAACTGAATAAATGACATGTTTAATTGTTTTGGGAATATCTCTTCATTAAATTGTTAATGTGCACTTTCCTTCGCTAACAGCGTCATGATTCTGTTTAAAACATCTGGCACAATATAAAGAAAATGAAACATCGCAGAAAATTATCCTTAGCGCGAGAATGCTATTCAGGCAATCGAAGGTCTTTCATAATACATAAGATGCAACCTCTAAGACAGACACTTCAAAATAACTCGTCAGAGAATAGGAATTGATGAAGACTCACTCGTAATTAAATCATTTCCTACATGAATACGGACAGCAGTGATAAATAATTACTAATTGTAGCTGTTTTTAAACAAATGCTACAGATCGTGAAACAGAGGATAACTATTAATAAGTAATTATTAATCACGACCATTTTGTACGATTGACTATATTGCAATCCGAAGAAGAGAATCCGTGAATTTGTGGAAATATACCGATTAATTATAAATTATTACACGATTTTTATGTGTAAAACTGGTAATAGCATGCAACAATACTGTTATTCATTGAAGAAGGAAAATGGGAATTTGTAATGACGGCTGATTACAGAATAATGTTATGTTAAATAATATTACGGAAACATTTATTATTTGCAAAGTGTTGCATCGAATTTCAAGTCAGTCTCTTGTAGAGTGACATGACGTACGTTAATGTTAATAATCCATAAGATTGGATTATAAGTGTTGTGATGTAGGGATGCGTTTATATTGAATGCATTTACATTCTTCGCTGATCGAGATGGGATTGATCGTTTTGGGAATTAATAATTTTAACATGTAAAGTACTGATATTATCGAATAGCAATAAATCAGATTTGCGTTATCTAACGAAAGGCGCGATAAATTTGCCGGTTTATTATGACGCTAATTTCATTCGTTGTTTTATATTCTTGAAATATGCATATCTCTTATAAAAGCTGTCTCGCTTATTCCATTTCTACTTAATTGTATTTCTTTCTTGCATTTTCTAAGATATATTTAATCTGTTCTAAATAAATAAATTTGATCACCTTATCGAATTAAGCGCCAGTAATCTCCGTTAATCACACATACCGTGTTTTTTCTCTCGCGAAAATCTGTGCGATTCCACGGTTAGAGCCGGTCGGATGAGTGCAACGAAACGGTGTGCGAAGTAAGCTTTCGGGGGGATAAATTATCGATTCGCATACGGTCGTGTGGTCGAGTGCACGTCGTGGCGTTGCGGTACAGCCTCGCATCGGCTCGATAAAATATGCTCCTCTTCTCTGGTCTCTCTCGTCTCACCTTTCTCCTATCCACATCCTCCCTCCGACTCGATACGGTTTCATTCACGCTGATATGTAGGAATAGATCAAGACGAGTAGTCGAAAATCGAGTTACCGCCGGAAGGTCTCTACCAGCGGCATCAGTTACTCTGAACGGAGAGTATGCTACCACTGGAAAGTATAGAAGGGTAAAATAGAAGTGGACCGTCGGAGACGGAGGGTGGTCTGATTACAATCGGTTTGATAGCCTATCCTTGCCGGTTGGAGGTTCCGGTGGGCACACACAGTGGTCCATTCTCGTGAATTAGTCCGATCCTCATCATCGTCTTCCTTCCCGATCAACTCAGTCGACACTATCGCATCGTGCCAGGATCTTGGCGCTATTAGGATATCAACAGGAAATTGATGGAAGTTTATTTTGTCTATATATGTCCGAGATTACAATCGTCCTGTATCAACAACCGAGCTTCTTTTGTCATCTCTTAAGATCTCAGCTATCCAAATTGAAAGTATTTACCTTTAATTTGGAACGCATGTATGAAAATGTTATGCTCGCTTTTCAAGTAATACATTCATATAAGTTGCATGCGTTACAGCGGTTATAAACTGTTCTTTGTCGCAAGTATTTGTCTCTTGAGGAAGGTGCATTATGTATGTATGTTCTAACTTCGTCTATATATGTTTCGGCAAAGATTTATAAATTTACACAATTAGGTTCTTTTTACGAGCTAATAATTTCAATGCTCCAATACTTGAGTGTCTTTTTCTGATCGTAAGAAAGGTTTCTTTGCCATTGATAAATATTGTTAAGGCAGAATTTCATGAAACGTCTTGCTTGACACAGTTCTTTTCATCCACGCTGCAGGTTTCTTAGTTGATTAAATTATCCATGCATTTTTCTTGTCTGCTGAATTTTTCAGCGAGCATCGCATTCATACAGCTCAAAGGGATTAAAAAGACTGAAAATCTTTCCCGTGAATCAAGAAAGATCAAATATCACGTAATTTTAGCAAAAGGGATCTTACACGAAAGCGGTTTTGGAATCGGTTTGCTTTCAAACGAAATTTCGCGAAATTCATTCGAATTTGATATTATCCGGCAGTAAATAGTTGGCAAGATCCGATTTCGTAGGGAGAAGGTTTGTTGAAATATGGCCCGGGTGAATGCAGAAAAGGCGCAGCATGAAAAAGATGCCAGCATTAAAGGATCTCCGATGATGACGTCACGCGTCATGGCTCGCCCACCGTCTGGTGGTTAAAACGTGGCCCACGGTTTTCAATAAAGTGGGACTAATGGAGCGCCATTTATTATTGCAGCTCTCTCCATCCCTTTCCCCATTTCTCTCTCGTTCCCTTTCACATGCCTACCACCCTACCAGTCGACAGAATGATGCTTTCATTTGAAATGAGCGTTACTTCCATCATCGATGTAAGCGACAAGCGATTAATTTCGATAGTGGATATAAAACATCATTATTGTCACCGTCACCGTCATCGTCATGTTTCTGACATATTATCATGCCTAAGGGGATGCTGGAGTGATTATGCACATTTTGCACCTTTTGCATTTAAAATTGTCAATTCGTGAAAACATTTCTAATATACAGAGAACAGCATGGTATCATTGAAATTAAGTTTAGAAGTCTAACAAAAAATAGGTCAGGTAATCTATAACTTATTCCAAGGAATTGATTTTTTGTTACATTTCTAACCTTAATTTCAATGATACCATGCTGTTCTCTGATTTAATCCGATTATTGGAAACTAGTCGATATGTACATAAAAGCCACATAATTTGTATATTACACAAATGTTTTCATAAATTGACAGTTCTACAAGCAGAAGGTGCAAAAAGTGCAGAATTACAGCATCCCCTTAAATGTCGGTGAATTATGAAATAAGGTTACTAAAAAATCGCGATAGAAGTAGCGTCCGCGTGCCATGCGTGTACGTATTGCATGTTTACGACGTGTGTATGCAAGTTGTACACGGGAAAGTATGCTGAGCTAATAATAAGGGAAGGCCGTTTAATTTTGCATGCAGCGTGTCGCTTGATTTTCTTTACGAAATGAATTCCGTATTTAATACATGTGCATAACTGGAAATCTTTTGTATATTTTGAACGTACAGAGTGGCCTCTCTACAAATTATTGATATATTGTTTGACATTTGGGAGCGGCCAAGTTTTATATTTATTGTGTGTCATATCTTACGTTAAGAAGACAATATAGTCAAATGGATCATATAAAACACAATTATATCGAACTTTATGAAATTATAGACGAACATCTTGGTATACCAAAGAGCTATTAGTAGGATAAATTGTATGTGACTTTAATGAATTGAAATTTAAGTGAAATTGTTTTTGAATCAGGTAGCTAACGAGTTTGAATTATTTTGTTGCGTTTTTTAACTAAATTTTTTTATATGCGAAACGCGCGTAAGATATACATATAGACTTTTTCTAAATAACCAAAATGTGAAATTTTCTGTATACATCAATATCCCTTTTACATATTAACTCTGTAATCTACAACTGAGAGAACAAATCAAAATTTTTATTTTAAAATAACATGTAATATTAATTATTATTTATAATTACGAATTCGCAGCATATGAAGAAGAGATAAAATAATTTTGCATAAAATGTCGTGCTTTATGTAATGCTCGATTTAAATTTATTCACGAAATTGTGGCATGTCTTTTGCGTGACAATTTCACGCGGGTCGGGGACGTGAATAGATCCCTCGACAGTTTCAGAGGTAAAAGATGGGGAGAAAATAGGAAAGAAACGAATACGAGCGCGAGACCAGAGCACGGTAGTGAGATCCATTGAAGCGGGACAATGCGGGGGTGGACATACAAAAGTCCAGGCCACGCCATAGATCAGGAATCGAGCGTGGATGGCCCGTAGATCAAGGGTTTCCTTAATTTCGCGGGACAACGGTGAAATGTTGATTTACCGTACCTCGAAACGGGCCGTACGACTTGCACGCACTCCCGTGCACGAGAGAAAATATGCCCTGCGGCCAAGGATGGCGCCTGTGCCGCCAATGGAAACCTCTATTAATTCTCCATGCGGCGAAAACCTAGCGAAGTGGACACAATCGAATTTCGGTTTGGATGACCGCTTCCAGAACAAGCGGTATTTTCGGGTGCACGTGCTGCTCGTAAGATTTCAACTCAGCTTAGTGCTAGAAAATATGAGTCAGCTGA